TTCTGCTAGTGAGCCTATCCACTGAGTTTTTTATTTGGTTGTTTGATTTTTTCAGTTCTAAATTTCTAGTTGGTTACTGCTTGTATCCTCTATAGCTTTACTGACACTTTCTATTTTTCATTTGTTTCAAGTATGTTGGTAATTGTTCACCTCCTTGTCCAATTCCCTAATCAGGCTCTGTCTAAGTTCTTCCTCATCTGTTCAGACTATGAGCCACTGACCATGACTATGAGATAATCTTATCTCAGACCATCTCTCCTAAGCAAAGTTAATGCAGTATGCTCTTTGGAATTCAGTCTAAGGAAGGATTTACTTCATCAGTTATGCTTCAGGGCTATGCCTGAGGGAATAAACAGAGTGATCTCAAAGCAGGAAACGTTGATGGAAAAGAAATGAGATTAATGCATTCCAGGAAGGTGTCCACTACCAGCGTCAGTTCATCAAGATTCAAGTTTCTGAAATAAAAGTATCCCAATTGTCAAATTTAGCTCGCCCTGTCCACAAGATTTAATAGAAGCTAAAATCTGCTCTCTTTGGCTTCTGTAGTAAAAGGTGGAAACATGGATTCACTACTCTAAAAACTGTATAAATAATGAGAAGAGGTAATCGCTCCTTTCCTCCACACACACACACACACACACACACACAAATATAAAATGCAAAAATAAGGCATTGATAAGAAGAGGGAGTGGATGCTATATAGAGAAAAAATGACAGAGGTCTATTATAGTCACTTGGGCAATTTCTATCTTGGGGACATGGCACAGTGTTATGGGGGTCCTGATGCAGCTCTAGGGCCACACGCTGGTTTGAGTCCAAGCCCTACCGTCTGGTTACTGGTCATCTAGGGCAAGTCACGTGGCCGTTTGGAGTTCAAATGTTCTCATCTGTATAAAGAGGAAATAGCAAGTAATTTATACGGTATACAGCCTAAATATTAAATGAGATAATTTATATAATATTCTTAACACAGCATCTGTTGATAGCTGTTATTATTCCAAATCCCATATTTTTAAATGTTGGTACTGATTTGAGACTTCTGCAACACGTTCCTTCCTGCGTGCTAATAAAGTAATTAGACGTAAAGAATTTTGACTCAAACACACTTGGATGTGAAACTGTTCTTCTGTTTACCAGCTATATGATATTGACCACATCACTCTCTCAATTTCCTTTTCCTCATATGTAGATAGAAAATAATAATAAGCACTTCAAAAATCTAACCTAAGAATAAAAATAAGTCCATACATATAAAGAATTTAGTAGAGTCTAGCACCTAGTAAATGCTCAAAAACGGTCACTGTTGTCACTATTATCATCATCATTATTAAATGTAAGAAATGCTGAGTCAAATTTGACTATTAATAAATATTTACAGAAATAGTCAATGCCATATTGTAAAATATCAAAATGTCTCAATTCTACAATGTCATTGTAAAATGAAATAAGGAAACCGTCTTTGATATAGCATGAAATGGATAAAGATAACCAGGAATGAGTTACTGTGTGGCTTTATATATACCTGTTACTGTGTGGCTTTATAAAGCATACTGCATGCTCACAGCGTACTACAGGTAATACAGCTAGTACCTTCTCTTAGACTAGCTGCCTGCACTTATGACCACAGGCAGACTCTTCACTCAATTAAAAAATCTCTTTGAAACCTTGTTTTAGCCCTAGTCCTTCCCCACTCTCTAGCTCTGCCTAGATATCTCAAAAAAACTAATATAAAATGGGATATGGAGAATGGTGGCATATATTGAAATGGAAAGCCCATCTAAAATGATGTCTGTGCCGGGCGCGGTGGCTCACACCTGTCATCCTAGCACTCTGGGAGGCCGAGGCGGGCGGATTGCTCGAGGTCAGGAGTTCGAAACCAGCCTGAGCAAGAGCGAGACCCCGTCTCTACTATAAATAGAAAGAAATTAATTGGCCAACTAATATATATAGAAAAAATTAGCTGGGCATGGTGGCGCATGCCTGTAGTCCCAGCTACTCGGGAGGCTGAGGCAGGAGGATCGGTTGAGCCCAGGAGTATGAGGTTGCTGTGAGCTAGGCTGACGCCACGGCACTCACTCTAGCCTGGGCGACAAAGCGAGACTCTGTCTCTAAATAAATAAAATGCTGTCTTTCCAATCTCAGCGGTGCTGACTACCACAGGAATCACTTCTAAGAGGCTACAGTCACCCAGTGGGTACAACGCACAGTTCCACCACCAGCAAAGTTGGGGCGCACCCACAGGCCTTGCAGTGATTCATCCCCTGCAAAGCCCTTTCAGGTGTATGGATCCATTAATTCGCTTTCATTGTGTGACCACTATGCACAGAGCTAATCACTCAGAAAATATTTATAGCATAAACCTCAGCCCTTCAAGCTGGAAGGATTATGTATTGATTCTTTAATTCATTCATGCATCTATCCAAGGATTCAACAAGTGTCTAATGAACATCTGCTACGTGCCAGACACTCCACTTCGGCCTGGGATGTGAACGCAAATAAGGCAAAAGTCCCTGAGGTGTCCAAAGTTTGATCCCGCCGCCAGTGAAACGTGCCTGCCTCTCCGCGCCTGTGATTCCTTCCTGGTAGGTGGCGCAGGTGGCAGAGCACCCACCAGGGTGCAGTTGGTGGAGGTGAAGGAAGCTTGCTGTTGGTGCCCAGGTGGTGCAAATAAGGCCACGGGCCTTGTCCCCAAGGAGAGGTGAAGGGAGGACTCGGGTTAGAAGTGCACATTTTGTGGTGCAGGTGGCACAGACATGAATCAACGAAATTGACCTTTGGATTTTAGAGAAATACCCTTTGAACAAACAAAACATTTCATCAACTCTGGGAAAACTGGTTTCAGAAACCTGTTGAGCAACTGCTGACAAAGGGCATTTGGTGAGCCAGCTCCTCAGCGTTCTGCCGCTGCGCGGGTATGTTTCTAAGCGGGTATGTTTCTGCCACGCTCTCCCCACCCTTGCCGTGGACTGTCTCAAACTAAATGTGTATGTCTGGAAGTTAATGCTCTGCTGTGCTGCTGGCTCTGTCTGCCTCAGCTAATGGGGTGTAGACAGCCCGGGCTGTTTGCGACTTCTGTCCTCCCCTCAGGAATTCCAGTCGGTAATTCCAGCCAGTTCCGATAAACAAAGGACGGAGAGAGCTGGCACAGAGGCTGGAAACTGCCCGCTCTGCGCCAGCTCCAGCGTGGCCCAGGCCGGCGCCCCGAGGTGCGGGCGCAGCTATAGGAAGGCCACAGTGGGAGGCCCCTCGTCTCCAAGCTTGGCATTTGAGGGACACGTGCACCCTAGGGTAGAATGAGTGGCCTCTCAGAGATGAAAAGGGCCTTGAGAGACCACCTGGTGGGGGGCAGGTGAGCACCGTGGCTGGGACGGTGTTCTCCCAGGGCAGTCACTTAGCCCTGGGAGAAAGCCCCGTTCTTCGCTTCTGTCCTTCTTTCTTCTTACAGATTGGCTGGTTGCTTAGATTGTTGGGCTTTTTCCCCACAAAAGAAGAGCTAAGATTAAGGTTCAGATGCAGTAACCATTTGTGAAATAATCCCTGGAAGCACAAACAAGAGCGTGGTGGCCATGATTCAGGGAGGGAGAAGCCGGGAAAGCGGGTGTCCGTGTGCCCGCTGACCTCTGCAGGAACCTGGGGCCCGCTCCTGGGGAGATGCTCAAAAGCCGTGCGGAGGGAGTGCCCCTCTGATTGTCCCCAGAGAGGGTGTGGAGGCTGCGTTCGTCATCCGGCTACTCCCATCCCAATTAACTGGGAGTTGCTCCCAAGGTCATTAACCCTCTCCCTACACGTGCACTTTTGGGTGGCTCCAGTGTGCACAGAGTAGGCTCCTAGGGTCCTGAAGAAAGCCTGGGGCAGAGGGGAACAGGAACGTTGGTGCTTGGGCGGGATGTTCCCAACGTTCCGGAAACTGTCCCCCACAGCCGCACGTGACCTCAGAGGAGGACCGCGAGGATATGCGCAGTTGGGCGCTGGCCACGTCTGCTGCGGTCTGCACTCGCACAACGTTTGCATCTGGATAACAAACCAATACGACCCCAACCCCTGGGCAGGGGAGTCTTCTTTGTGTGACGCAGGGAGCCGAGACGTATAGTGATGCAGACAAAGGATGTGGCCAGAGATGACTCCGCCACTTTCCGTCCGCGAAGTCTTAAGATCTGCTCAGTTGCCCTCACAGAGTTTTCAAAAGGACACATGAGAAAACGCTGTGTTGATACTTGCATAAAACTAGAAATTATTAGGCGCCGATTTATTTTTCAACCAGGATTACCGAACGCCTGTCCGGCACCATGCTGAGCGTGAGGGGCAGGGCGGTAACTAAGACTGAGAAAGCACTTGTTCTCGCTGAGCAAGGGGATACAGGGGGTACAGACATGCAGGCGAGTTTGATACAGGGAGCACGTGCCGGGTTGGGGAAGTGCAGGGTGCTGTGGGGACCCCCGCAGGGGCACACAGTCCGGCCAGGGAGCTCGAGGAACGCTTCCTGTAACAGTAATGTCTAAGCTGAGCCCTTAAGGATCTCTTTAAAAACAAACCGTGGTAAAAGACACGTGACATCCAATACACCATCTTACCCACTGCTAAGGGTACAGTTCAGTGGCACTGAGCGCATGCCCATCGCTGTGTGACCATCAGCACCACCCACAGACTCCTTTTATTTTGTGAGACTGAAACTCTGCACCCAGTAAGCACTAACCCCCAGTCCCCTTCCTGTCATCTTCTGGAAGCAGCCACTCTTTTTTCTCTCTCTCTCTCTGATATTTGACTGCTCTAGTGACCTCACGTAAGTGGAATAATGGCACTTGATCTTTTATGATTGACATTATTTCACTCAGCATAATGTCCTCAGGTTTCATCCATGTGGTGGCATGTGTCAGAACTGTCTTCTTTTTTAAGGCTGAATAATATTCCATCATGCGTGCACGCCACGTTTTGTTCACCCGGTGATCTGCCTATGAAAACAAGTCCTTCGGTCCTTGTTTTCAGTTCTGAAACTTTTTTACCTGTTGCCTATGTTGCGTTTGACCAGTTTCACACGTATGTCTTTTCTTCTTTAACCGAGAGTTTGGAGAACCTTGCAGTGGGTGCGGGACTCTGCCTTTTGGGCGCGTTCTCAAGCCCCTCAGTGCTGTTTTCCCAGCAGGAGGGGTGGAGTGGTGGCAAGCGTTTGGGCTCTGGAGCGACACCTGGGCGGGCTCTGATTCTAGCACTTCCGCTTCCTAACTGCAACATTAAGCAAATCCTTTACCTCTTTAGGGTTCAGTTTAGTCTTCTCTCAAATGAAGAGACTAGAACTAATACTACAGTAGGGAAATTATAGTTAACAATAATTAATTGCATATTTCAAAATAGCTAGAGGAGAAGATTCGTAATGTTCCCAACACAGGGAAAAGATCAATGTCTGAGGAGACGATATCCCAATTACTCTGATTTGATCACTGTATACAGCTATCAAAATATCACATGTACACCCAAAATATATACAATTATGATATATCAACATTAAAAAAAATCATAGGAACCAAATTATATTGTAAGACATAAAAAAAAGAGAGAATATTACATATGTAAAAAAAACCCAAGAAATCCATGCGCGTTGTAGAATGACTGAGATGCTAGTCAAAGAGTAAAAGTTTGAGCCACGCAGGATGAAAAAGTTCTGGAGATCTCTACATAATTCCAGCGTGCTGACTAGTAATGCTGTATTGTATGCTTGAAATTTGCTAAGAGAGCAGATGTGGAATGTAAAAAAAACAAAACCCAACCAATCTTTCAGATGATTATACACATTAGTGATTATGTAACGTGTTATATAACCAAAGTATTTTAAGAACTCTGCGTGAAAGAAAGAAAGTGATCTTTAAAAATGGTAATGATGGATCTTACAGGCAATTACTCGGCTATTTAGGATGCACAGGTGTGTGAAAGCGATGAGTGCAGTGGCTGGAAGACCCCAGGCCTGAACCAGCGGAGCGTCTCCTCACTCCTGCCCCCTGACCGCGTAATGCCATCTGCCACCCCACTGTGCTACAGCCTCACCCCAGGTCTGGGTGGCTCGGCACCCCCACCCCTGGTGCCTTCCACACAGCCTACTGAGTCACTCATTAGCTTTGGGTGCAGAGCTGGAGCAAAGAAGAATCACAAATGGTGAGACCTTCCCACTGTCCTCCAAAATCCAGCAGAGCCTGCCGAGGGGGCTGTCCCTGCGTGGCCATGCCTTGCTTATGTTCCGAGCAGGTTTTTCCGAGCAAGACACATTCCCCCACCCTCATAACTTCACAATCTGCTTCTAACTCCCCCCCACGAGCTCCATCTCACATTCCAGTCAACATTTCCCCTTACCATTTCCGCAAGCTGCCTCAAGTCTTTTGTGGCAGGAGGGACATTCTACTAAATACTAGTACTCACCATCCTACTTGCATGACAAAATGTAAAATATATTATGTCATTGGAGATGGGCATTCTGCAAGGCCCATGTCATTACAGACTTGTGGATGATGGAATTTCTTGCGAGGTTATCAAACCTCAGTCTCTAAGGCAAGGAACAAATTGAGGGGAGCATTGCCATGCTCAGAAGGAAGAGCTTTGCAGGACAGGAAACATTCGGCCACTTCATCACTCAGATTCCAACATAAAAAAAGAAAATCAAAATCATAGCCCTCAAGTCCAGAAGTGAGCCTACCAGGGGCTGTAACAGGTCATTGTAGAGTGTTTGGTCCCAGGCATATTTTCTTCAAAGTTTCTGGAACAAACAGTCTCCAAAACAAACACTGAGGGGTCCTGCACATAAAGGCGCTTGTCTGCCAACACTTCCTTTTAGAAAGTGCGAATCAGTGCCTCAGCCCGTGCCTCCTCGCCCTAGTCCGCCGTCGCTTCCGGAGGGGCCAACTCCCCGCAGCGGTTCAGAGGTGCCTTGGATTTCCACTCCGCGACAGCAGCGGGGCATTCGAACGGGCCAAACGGACGCCGGCATCTTCCCAGCCATCTCACGCGGGCGCGCGCTGCCGAGACTCCCTGCGTTGAGCACGACAATGTGCTGCTTCGAGAGCGGCGGCTGCGGTGGGTGGCGCAGTGGGTGACACGGTGCGTGAGGCAGTGAGGTGACTCGGTGGGGTGACACAGTGAATGACGCAGTGAGGTGACGCAGTGAGGTGGTGCAGCGAGTGTGTGACGCAGTGAGGTGACGCAGTGAGGTGATGCAGTGTGTGACGCGGTGAGGTGACACAGTGAGTGGCGCAGTGAATGACGCAGTGGGTGACATGGTGAGGTGATGTAGTGAGTGGTACAGTGAGGTGGTGCAGTGAGTGACATGGTGAGGTGGCGCAGTGTGTGACACGGCGCAGTGTGTGACACGGTGCGGTGACGCGATGAGGTGACGTGCTGAGGTGGCGTGATGAGGTGACGTGCTGAGGTGGCGTGATGAGGTGACGTGGTGAGGTGGCGTGATGGTGCAGTGAGGTGATGCCGTGAGGTGGCGCGGTGAGTGATGCGGCGAGTGATGCGGTGAGATGACATGGTGAGGTAACTCAGTGGGTGATGCAGTGAGTGACGCGGTGAGGTGGCGCAGTGAGCAGCAGTGGATGACGCAGTGAGTGACGTGAGTTGGCGCAGTGAGTGGCAGTGGGTGACGCGGTGAGTGACGCGGTGAGGTGGCGCGATGAGGTGACGCGGTGAGGTGGCGCGATGAGGTGACGCGGTGAGGTGGCGCAGTGCGCGGCGGTGGGTGACGCAGTGCAGTGGCGCGGTCTCAGACCCGAGGACGGGAACGCGAGGAAGAGGAAAGGGCGCGAAATGGCCTCCCTGCCGGTGCTCTGGCGGGCGCGGCCCTGGGCGGCAGACGCGGCGGCGGATGCGGAGCGGAGCGCTGGCGGCCGTCGTCTGCTCCGCCTCCCTCCGCTCTCTGTCCGCGCCTGGAGACCCCGGTGGAGCCTGACCTGAGGGCGAGAGCCACGGCTTTCCAGTCACATTGCTCTGGGTCCGGACGCCCCCGCGGAACCCGCGTCTCCAGTACTCCGGTGTCTCACCTGGAGGTGGAGTCTTATTTTCCTTGCTTTTCAGGTGTAGACAGCCACACGGAGCGACCTCCACCAGAGCGCTTGGCTCGTGGCTGAAATAAACGGAATGACGTGAAACGGCGCGAGGAGCGACTGAGGCGCGGGCGGGAGGTGCGGGCACGCGAGCGCGCCGCCCCGCGGCCCTGCCGGCCTGCCCGAGGAGATCCTGTCAGTTTCCTGGCGCCGTCCGCACCCTGCCGGCCGCAGAGTCTCGGGTCAGGGAGCTGCGCGGCTGGGGCAGGGGAGCAAGAGCAAGGGCTAATCCCGGCGTGCGCGTCTCAGGGCCGAGGGCAGCCGCGGTAGGCGGGAAGGCGTGACTCCTGGGAAGGCTGGGCCTGCGATCAGCCGTCTAAGGGCTCAGTCTTTGAAGCGAGCCACCTGCATTTCCCAAGTCACCTTGACGTTCATTCGGCCACAAGCATCCACTAAGGACCTCATACACAAGGGCTGTCCAGAACGCACCCAGCCGCGCGGCTGTTCTGTGTCGACAGGGGCCGGAGGCTCTCCAGGCAGCCCTCGTGCGCTGGCCCCTGCACATGCAATGATGAACCAAGTAGACGGTGTCCCTGATGAACAAGACTGAAAAATTTTTAACATGAAACACATACGTAAGTATCCCCTGTGTTCAATGCAGTGGGGCCAGGGAGAGAAAATAAAAGGGGAGACGTCTTGCATTTCAGCAGGTGGGAGATGGCATCTCCGAGGAAGTTGATAAAATGGTTTTTAACAGGTAGCTGAATATTGAAGCAATAGAAAACAACAAACTAGTATTTATTATGGCAGCAAATAAACATTTAGAAATTAGAGCTATAAAATCTAGAAAATTAAAATTTAAAAGGTACTATTTACATAATATCAAATAATATGAAGTACCTATGAAAAATCTAATAAAATATGTGCAAGGCTTCCATGGAGAAATTATGAAGCATTCAGTGTTTCTGAGGAGAGACATTAAGGAAGAAAATGTAAATAGAGGAAGGAATATATCCTATGGACAACTTGGAAAAACCAATATTAAAAAGATTCAGTGCAGTCACAGTCACAACTCAGCAGTTGTTGTTGTTTTATTTTAGACTATTATGAACTTGCTGTAAAAATAACATGGAAGTGCAAATGTCAAGTAAAGCAAATACACTCTTAAAGAAGAAGAACCTATTCAACTTGCTCTGCCAGATTTCAAGTCTTATTACAAGACCACAATAATCAAAACTTCTTTGTATTTGCACTGGGATAGTGCAATAGAAAAGAACTGAGAACATTCAAACTGGGCCATGAATATGTGACTATTTAATATATAACAGAATTGTAACTTTCTTGATATGTGATTTTAAAACAACTGGATTTCCATGTGGACAAAGGAAATTTGAGTCTTGCTATATACCATATATAAAACATCAATTTTATTTTATTTATTTCTTTTTTATTTTTTTTAAATTTCAGCATATTATGGGAGTACAAATGTTAAGATTACGTATATTGCCCATGCCCCCCTCCCCCCTCAAGTCAGAGCTTCAAGCATAACCATCCCCCAAATGTTGCACATCTCACTCACTGTTTGTATAGACCCATCCCCCTCCCCCCTCCGACCCACCTGACACCTGATAAATATTATTCCTATATGTCCACTTATGTGTTGATCCATTGATACCAATTTGCTGTTGAGTACATGTGGTGCTTGTTTTTCCATTCTTGAGATACTTTACTTAGTAGAATGGGCTCCAGCTCTATCCAGGAAAATACAGGAGGTGCTAGATCACCATTGTTTCTTAAAGCTGAATTATATATATATCTCACATTTTATTACTCCAGTCATGTATTGATGGGCACTTGGGTTGCTTCCACAACTTTGTGATTGTGAATTGTGCTGCTATAAACATTCAAGTGCAGGTGTCCCATTTGTAGAGTGTCATTTGATCTTTTGGGTAGATGCCCAGTAGTGGAATTGCTGGATCAAATGGTAGATCTACTTGTATCTCTTTAAGGTATCTCCATATTGCTTTCCAGGGAGGTTGAACTACTTTGCAGTCCCACCAGCAGTGTAGGAGTGTTCCTCTCTCTCTACATCCACGCCAACATTTATTGTTTGAGAACTTTTTGATAAAGGCCATTCTCACTGGAGATAAGTGATATCTCATTGTAGTTTTGATTTGCACTTCCCTAATGATTAGAGATGTTAAGCATTTTTTCATATTTTTTTTGGCCATTATTCTGTCTTCTTTCGAAAAATTTCTCTTCATGTCCTTTGCCCAGTTTTTGATAGGGTTGTTTGATTTTTCCTTGCTGATTTTCCTGAGTTCTAAATAAATTCTAGTTATCAGCCCTTTATTGGATGTGCAGCTTGCAAAAATTTTCTCCCATCTTGTGGGTTGTCAGTGTGCTCTCTTGACAGTTTCTTTGGCTGTGCAGAAGCTAAAACATCAATTTTAGATGGGGCAACAGATTGTGTTTGAGCTCAGGAGTTCGAGACCAGCCTGAGCAAGAGCGAGACTCCATCTCTACCAAAAAAAATAGAAATAAATTAATTGGCCAAATAAAAATATATAGAAAAAATTAGCTGGGCATGGTGGTGCATGCCTATAGTCCCAGCTACTCAGGAGTCTGAGGCAGAAGGATCTCTTGAGCCCAGGAGTTTGAGGTTGATGTGAGCTAGGCTGATGCCAGGGCACTCTAGTCGGGACAGGAGACTCTGTCTCAAATAAATAAATAAAACCACAGTGAGATACTACTTTGTATCGACAAGACTGTAAAAGTTAACATTGTGTTATTACTAATGTTGGCAAGGATATATAGTAAGAGACAATGTTACCCAATTTGGTAGGACTCTAAATTGATATAAGCACTTTGAAAAACTTTTGATACTATTTTCAAAAGTCAAATATATACACACTAAGCAACTGCATCCTTTAGCATAAACTTATGGATATGTACATCAGGAAATACATACAAGTTTGTTCCTAAAGAAATAATAAGACTGCCATTAAACTGGAAAAAAATGCACATTGACACTAGATGAATACATGTAGATTACTATACAGCAATCCGAGTAAATAACTAAAGCTGCCTGCAGTTGCATTTGATCAAGAGTCAGCAAACTACGGCCCCATAGGACAAACAAACCCTCTGTGACCTCCTTTTTCATGGCCTACAAGCTAAGATACAAACAGACAAAGAACAAAAAAAAAAATGTGTGAGAACATAGGTAGCCTGCAAAGACTAAATATTTTAAATATTTACTGTTTGATTCCTTACAGAAGAAGTTTGCCAGTTCCTGATATAGACAAATGTCAAAAACATATTCTTGATCAAAAGAATAAAACCTAAGAACGAAGGCAGAATTATTTCAGTCATACGAAAAGTTCAAAATCAAGGAAAACTAAATTCTTTTGTTTCATAATTAATATAACTGGTAAAACTACAACAAAAACCAGGACAATGCCTATCACAAAAGTCATATTGTAATTGCTGCGGAAGAAGATGAATGTTAGCACTGGGAGAGGCGCACAGAGCATCAGGGCCCGGGCACTGATGTTCCACTTCTTGCCCTGTGGGCATTCCCTAAACACACACACACACACACACACACACACACACGGCATTTTTCTGTATATATATTTATTTCACAATAACCCTTTTTGAAGAATAAATGGGACTTTTGGGTAATACAAGAAATACTGAGATATGTGGCTACCTTTGTGATACAAACACAAACAAGCGTTTAGTAACATGTAATAAAAAGTGTTTAATATATATCATGACCTACAAAGAAAGAAGATAAAATTCCTAGATGTCAGAAACAATGGGAGATCTTAAAGTCAGAGAGAAAGCTTTATGAATGACGCCAAGATGCCCCGGGAAGAAGCTGAGTACTGACACAGGTCTGAACTGCCAGGGTGGGTGATAATGCCCATGCAGAGATGGTCTGAGGAGTTTTCAAGAAAGCAGCAGCTTAGTCCTGCAACCCTAGCACTCTGGGAGGCCACGGCAGGAGGATTACTTAAGGCCAGGAGCTCCAGACCAGCCTCAGCAACATAGTTAGACCCCGTCTCTGCAAAAAATACAAAAATTAGCCAGGCATGATGGTGGCGCACGCCTGTAGTCCCAGCTACTCAGGAGGCTGAAGCAGGAGGATCTCTTGAG